CCTGCATTTCTAGTGTGGCCAAAGGTCCTCCTTTTCCAGGACATGTCTTACATTCCCAAGGTGACCAGGGATGGTCCTGTGTTTAGAACATGTCCTACATTTCTAGTGTGAACAGAGGTCCTCCTTTTCCAGGACATGCCCTACATTCCCAGGGTGAATAGAGGTCCTTCTGCTTTAGGATATGTCCTAAATTCCCAGGGCGACCAGAGGTTCTCTTGTTTTAGGAAATGACCTGCATCTCCAGGGTGACCACAGACCCTCCTTTTCCAGGACATGTCCTACAGTCACAGGGTGAGCAGAGGCCCTCCTTTTACAAGGCACATCCTACATTCCCAGAGGATATGTTTTAGGATATGCCCTACATTTCAAGGATGACCAGAGGGTCTTCCTGTTTTAGGACATGACCTACATTTTCCCGGGTGACTAGGGGGCTTCCTTTTCCAGGACACATCCTATATTTCAGCCTTCCTCTGTCCACGAAGAATCACAAAATGTCCTCCCTTTTGAGCATGGCTAAGAAGCATGAATTGATATTTCTGTGAGTGTTGTTAGCTTTTATTTTCCCATGTCCTCCATTTTCTTTTCCATGCCCTTTCCCAGGACATGTACTACATTTCAGCCTTCTTCTGTCTAGGAGGAATCCCAAAATGTCCTCCCTTTTGAGCATGGCTGAGAAGCATGAATTTACAGAAAAGTGTTTTTAGGTTTTATTTGGCCATAGTCTCAACTTTTCTTGAATGTCTTCCATTTTGCAGTGCCTTGTCTTTTTTTGCAGTGAGGACATCAGCTCACCCTTCCCCCCCAAGTGAGACTTCAGGGACAGAGTGACCAGCCACCCTCCTTTCCCGGGACGTGTTGTACATTTCAACCTTCTTCTGCCCAGGAGGGATTCCAAAATGTCCTCCAGTTTGAGCATGACTGAGAAGCATGATTTTGAGCTTTTCTTTGGTCATGTCCTACATTGTTTCTGGAATGTCCTTCATTTTGTGGCGCCTTCTCCTCCTTTGCGGTGAGGACATCTGGTTTCCCTTTGAGGGGGGTAAACAACTGGAAGCCTCAGGAAGCGGCATGAGTCACTGGCGAAGAAAGGGCTGGGCTGGCGGCTGCGAGGACCCGTTATTGCAAGTTTCTCATTCCTCTCTCCTTCCCTTTTCCTTCCCTTTCCTCCTTTTGGCTCCCACCGCCTGCCCCACCCTGGTTCCCCCCCACGCCTTGTCTTTCTCTATCCTGCCTCCTCCACCCTCAGTTGGCGGTTGCTGCTACTGCTTCCAAGCGACAGTACTTCGCCTTCTTGGGCGAGGACCCTTTCTCCAGGGTTTGTAATCTCCTGCAAAGGTTTAAGCTCGCCTGGTTGTAGCCCAAACTCAGGGTGACCAGATGTCCTCACCACAAAGGAGGACAAGATACCGCAAAATGGAGGACATTCCAAAAAGGAGGAGGAAGATATGACCAAAGGGATGCTAAAAACACTTAGAAATGTAAATTCGTGTTTCTCAGTCATGCTCAAAAAGCAGGACATTTTTGAATTCCTCCTGAACAAAAGGGTGAAATGGAGGACATGTCCTAGAAAAGGAGGGTGGCTGGTCACCCTGCCCGGACTAGCTCTGTGGCTTTCACATTACCTCCCCCTCATTGATTTTTATGCCCTAGTAGGGGCAACCCAGTGTGCTTCAGGATTCAGAGGTACATTACAGTCGGCCCTCTGTTTTCGCAGACTTGGGGATCTGTGTCCCTCACCCATTCGTGGGCAGCAAACGGAGGGGGACAAATGGGCCACGTGCCCACGGGCACACACCACTGTTCAAGCCAGTGGGGTTTGAATATTGGTGATTTTCCATTTTCATGGGGAGGAGCTTTGGAACGGATCCCCTGCAAAAACGGAGGGGCCACTGTATAAGTTGAATTTATATTTATAAATAATAATAATAATTTTTATTTGTTTATCATCTCTTCAAGGCTTGAGATGGGGTACAGCATGTTGGAATGTGTGTGTTGTGTACCTTCAAGTCGTTTCTGGCTTATGAGGACCCTAATGGGGTTTTCTTGACAAGATTTGTTCAGAGGGTGTTTGCCCTTGCCTTCCCCTGAGGCTGAGAGCATGTGAGTTGCTCAAGGTCACCCAGTGGGTTTCATGGCTGAGCTGGGAATCGAATCCTGGACTCCAGAGTTGCAGTCCAACATTCAAACCACTACACCAGCTCTCATGTTAAAATGCATAACACAATTCATTAATTAAATAATTACTTAACTGACTGAAATCTGACTATTTCAAAGTGGTGTACAACAGAAATAAAACCTTATACCAATAGATAAAGTGAAAGTACAATGTGTATGATCTACATAAGTGTGTATGTGCCTTCAAGCTGTTTGTCAAGGCAGCCACGTGGATATCATAGGGTTTTGTTAGGCAAGGAGTACTCAGAGGTGGTTTTCCCAGTTCCTCAGAAATATAGATGAATAGATGGTCTTAATAGGGACATGGAGTTAGCCCTACAGGCCTTAGATATCATCCACTTAGAAACAGAATCGTAGAATTATAAGATACCTCAAGGGCCATGCAGTCCAACCCCCCTGCCATGCAGGAACTCTCAATCAAAGCATCTCCGACAGATGGCCATCCAGCCTCTGTTTAAAGACCTCCAAAAAAGGATGCTCCACCACATGTTGAGGGAGTGTGTTCCACTGTCAAACAGCTCTTACTGTCGGGGTTCTTCCTCATGTTTAGGTGGAATCTCTTTTCCTGTAGCTTACATCTATTGCTGTGTGTCCTATTCTCTGGAGCAGCAGAAAACAAGCTTACTCCATCCTCAATACGACACCTTCAAATATTTAAACAGGACTATTATATCCCCTCTTAACCATCTATTTTTTAGGCTAAACATATCCAGCTCACTAAGTCTCTCCTCATAAGGCATGGTTTCCAGACCCTTCACCATTTTGGCCGCCCTTCTCTGGACACGCTCCACCTTGTCAACATCCTTTTTAAATTGTGTCCAGAAATGGACACTTGTGTCCTCAGAAGGTGCCTTGAAATAGTGGTTCCCAAGCTTTTTTGGTATGGTAACCCATCAATTTATTGTAAAATTTGTGCATCTTAACAAGGTTTCTTACCATATGATTAGCATTAGTAAGGGCACCTAGGCACAAACCACATAATGCCTTTATACATGTGGAATTAGCTGAAATATCTGTTGTTCAAGTCAACATTGCAGCATGCCAATGAAATAGAAAATTGCAAAAGGTTTTCGCCATACCATGTAAGCGTTAAGAGCCATATAATTATTTTGATATTATTTATAAAGCAACTTGTTTGTGAGGAGAGTTGGATGCCCCAGCATTGCCTGCAACTGCGCATTGTAGGGTAAGATTAGTTGAAATGACATAGTTGTCTTTCTGAGATGCATGTTCACTTAGATTTCCTTACCACAGGGATCCCAGAGCTACCTTGTGTTTGGTTAAATAGCTGAGCTATAATAATCCTTTGGCATTAGCTATGCAAAGGACAGACACTGACTTCACTGCATAATACTGTGGGGAGTGATCATGCACCTAATTTTCTTCAGTAGCTACACTCATAGTAGCCTTGTCCTGAAAAGCAATGCAGAAGTGTAGTCTTGTGCTTAGCCCACTTTTAAAAATGGTTTGCTGGTATGTTGCCAGAAACTTCCTGTTATCTACTTCTCCTGGCTACTTCTCCAAACGGAAATTGAGACTTAATTTATAGGAGGAGGGAAAGCAAATATTCTGCCTAGAAGAGATTTCAGAGACATCTATACAGATTTCTTCCACACTGAAATGTTTGCTGAAACTCTTACTGAAAAAATGGCAATTAGTCCTCACCATAGCAACCTCCCAGTGTTTTATCTTGACTCCTATAATCCCTTTCCATTGGCCATGTTGCATAGAATCTCTTCAGAGTTGGCCATCCAAATATCTAGATAAAGGCTCCTCACTTGTGCTATAGCAAAATGAAGTGCTTTTGAGCTTTCACTTAAAACAGCATACTTTTAGCTCTTGACACTGCTATGAAGAATTATAAATTGTGTACAGCAAGAACTAAGGAAAGTAGTGGAGGATAAGGAGTCTTGGAAATGTCTCATCCACAGGGCAGCCATGAGTTGAGATCAACTCAAGGGTGCTAACAACAACAAAGAAGTAGCGTTAGTGGTATTAATCTCTTCACTGCTTCTATGTCTCTAAGCAAATTAAACACCCTCAATTAAAATAATCTAGTGTATGGATTTGATTCTTTTGCATTTAAAAACTATATTTCTTTTAGTGCAGAATGAAGTAACTTTGCCCCCAGGTTGATTGTATCTAGCTAGCAGTGATGGGAAATACTAAATGTCATAGCTAGGTTACAATCCTTAGTAGTTCATCTTCAGATTGACACACTTGCTTTTTTGTTAGTTTTTGCCTGATCTTGCTGCAGCCAACCATATTGACTTGTAGTAAGAGTTACCCTGTGGGGGCTGACATATCTCATAACAATATTTGTTTACTGAGTTATTAATGTTTTTGGTCTGATCAAGAACAAATTGTTGAAAATTAAATTGAGTGATAACGAAGGAATAGTATGGATCTAAGTCTTCTAATTGTACTTATTATCTGAAGTTGACTGGGCTTTATGAGAATGGGGTTTACTGGCCTCTAGGACTGCAGGGCGTCCACCTTTGTTTTGAGGAAAGGGGAATCATATTTTGAGGGGTGTATTTTGGTACTGTTCTAGGGAAAATGCTCATCCATACTTACAGTAACCCAAGAATGATTATCTGGTATGCATTGTGACAGTTCAGTTGTTCCTGCCCTATATTCCAGTAGCTTTGGCATTAGTTTGTAGGGTTATGGTAAGGCCTCAGGTATATCAGTGGGCTCCTTTAGAATACAAAATCCAAATATGAGGAAAAGTTATGTCAGGGATTTTGAAGAACATTTCTACCAGTTGATACTTACTTGAAATTTTTATCTTTCTATCTCTCCACAGGTAAACATCCAGAAATAAAAACCTTGATGAAACCAGACTATAATGTAATCTGGTTAGTTGTACTGATGGTGTTTGCACAGCTGGTTGCTCTTTACCTGGTCAAAGATTTGGACTGGAAGTGGGTTGTATTTTGGTCTTATGTGTTTGGCAGTTGCCTTGATCATTCCATGACTCTGGCTATTCACGAGATTGCTCACAACAGCGCCTTTGGCAATTCTAAAGCTTCATGGAATCGATGGTTTGGAATGTTTGCCAATCTCCCACTTGGCTTCCCATACTCTATATCTTTCAAGAGATACCACATGGATCATCATCGTTACCTCGGTGGTGATGGGATTGATGTGGACATTCCTACAGACTTTGAAGGATGGTTTTTCTGCACCCGTATTCGAAAGCTGTTTTGGATTATTCTTCAGCCCTTGTTTTATGCCATTAGACCTCTCTGTATTAATCCTAAACCAATCTCACGACTTGAAGTCATCAATCTGTCAATTCAGTTTGTCTTTAATGCTATAGTATACTATGTCCTGGGAGCAAAATCACTTTTCTATTTGATAGCAGGAGCAATACTAGGGTTGGGTTTGCATCCTATTTCAGGACATTTCATAGCTGAACATTACATGTTTTTAAAAGGACATGAAACGTATTCCTACTATGGGCCACTCAATAAGCTTACATTCAATGTTGGCTACCATAATGAACACCATGATTTTCCTAATATTCCTGGAACAAGCCTTCCACTGGTAAGTTCATAAAAGTGCATGTTTTTCAACTTTTGTAACTAGCTAGTTCCTTGCCCATCTGGAATCAATAAGTTTGCCTCTAGTCAAGCAGACTGCTGATGCTATTTAATTTTGTAGATGTAGAGGGCAGGTACACTTGGAAAATTGTGAAGTTGATTAAAATAATATGCCTTCTAATTCATCCATGCTTTCATAAGGGCTAATACTGCAATTGTTTAGAATTGCATCAATACATCAGATGTAATTATTTGCTTCAGATTGGGTAACACAGTACCTCATACCAGCTGTATATTTAACTTAGGCAGAACAACCCTGCCTTGGACTGCAGAGTGCCACTGATAGAAATTCTGAGTTAAAGAGCCTGGAAAGGCAAAAGAGAGGGAGGAGTGGCATTTTGCCTCTTCCCAAGACCATTAAAAAGAAGAAAAATTCCACAATTCTTTACTGAAACCAGAGGGTAATATTTGATCTTTGCCAGATCCAGGGATAATATATAATGTGGAACAGGAGCCAGTCTGGGGAAGGGTTTGGAGGCTGGAGAACTGTGGACTCTCCCTCTTGATATTGGAAACAATTTGGAAGAAGGAAGAACTGTGCATAGGGTCTGAAAGGGAGCACCTGAGTTTGGAAACTTCTCCCTCAGCATGGATTCTTTCCTCTGAGAATTAAATCCAAAAACGTTTAAGGCCTCTAATACAAGCATAGGGTTATAGTCTGAAATAGTTTTGTAGTTCTGTAGCTGCAGAAGACATAAGTCAGAGGGTGCTATTAGACATAACATTTTCTTAAAACAAAATGCACTTGATATGCTTCTCTTTCAGACCTAATCTGAAAAGTGGCTTTTAGCCACAAGCAATTGGCTACCCTTGAGTTAAAGTCAGATGACTGGACTGGTTGCACTTTTCTTGAAATAGTTTAAGTTTTCATGTGGCATATGAGCAAATTGCCAAAAAGATGCCCAAAATTCAGATTAGAAGGAATTGGAAATCTACTTCCATTTTCCACTTCCAGTTTTTTTGCCTGTTTGTCATCTTGGGGGTGGAATGTTCAAATGGCATACTACTGCTCCAGAAGGAATTATTCAGGAGTGTTTCACCCCCATTTAAAAATATTGGGGTGGTTTGTTAGGGGGTTTGAGGGTTACATGTGGCTTGTGGGCCACTAGTAACTCATCCCTGTCATGAAGTGAGCTAGTACTACATATGTGGCAGAGGTTATTGCCATCTAATAAACTAAATACTACATTGTAAGCAGTCTTCATTCCAGTTCTGTAAGAAAGGTAGAATAGAAATGAGATCTATTAGTCGATTACTTGGTTGAGACTTGAGCTTGAACTTGAACACCTCATGTTCATAAACCACTGTGCTAGGCTTGTCTGAAGTTGGGAACTTTTCCACTTCATGACAAACTTCACATTAAATTTTTGAAAAATGCATATTTATAATCCTTATTAAGTCAATATATGCATTATGCTAAC